TTTTAAGAAAAACAAGTAAGAAAGTCTAAGTTCGGGCGGAGCCGAACTTAGACTTTCTTACTTGTTTTTCTTGGTTTTGTTCCATATGTAATGATTACACGAGTAATCCGGAAAGGATTCGTCGCACATCCGCAGAGTCGGGATGCGTGGAGAAGGCACTGCTTACGGCTGATCTTGCCCGGGCATCGGAGGGGTCATAAAAGGGTCAAATGAAACTGTGTAATATTTTTTAGTAAGAAGTAGAAGAAGAAGTAGAAGAAATGTTACTCATACGCCATATCGTTCATGGCCATCCTGGTACATAATCCTTCAAGGCGCATGAGTAACATTTTACATATTGAAATTTTCATTTTTTCATTCGCAATGCAAACTTAAAATGAAAATATCTTAAGAAAATGACTTGATCTAGAAAAACGGTATACAGATCCGTAATCTAGTACGACTGCATTTAAGTTTACGTGTCTCGGCAGTTTTTGTGTCATTTTAGCGTGCCTACATTATAACAATTATTTTATTTCTAAGTACTTCTCGCGTTTTTCGCGGAGTTAAATTATGAAAATCAATAAAAGAAGAAGGATATACCATTGTGTCAAGCTGATTAAGTCAAGAGACATTTTGACTACTTTGCTTTTTTTGTTTACTGTTGATATTTTGTTTTATAAAATGCTTTGTATGAAAATTCAACCAACTTTAACAACTGCACCAAATTGCAAAAATTTTAAAATTTTTAAACAAGAATTTTTAGAAAAATTGTGTGTATGCAGTTTTTTATCTTATTAATTATTAGTAGATTAAAGTGCAAATTTCAAGACGTTAGAAAATCGCGTTGATTTTTAATATTATTTTTTTTTTGCTGGCGGTGTTGTGCATTTTTTGAGCTTCAAAACTGCATACCCAAAATTTATATAAACAACGATTTATGTGGCGATGGTTAGGCAAAGTGCTAAACTTGTATTAAAAAAAAATTATAAACATTAAATAAACAAAAGAAAAATTGCCAAACTAGTCAAAACCACAAGTGTGAGTAGAGCCTTATTTGTATGTTATAATTATAAAAGGTATTCCTACGAATTGATAAATTTCTTCTTTTCTTTAAAGTTGGTTAAAAATAAGATATCTCTGCGGTGTTTCTCCGAAAAGGTATTATTCTTGTAACCAGAAGCCAAATCTGATCAATAAATACAATAATCATTTCTTTTGCTTTTATATATATGTATGTGTTTTGGGCTAAGATTGTTTTTAAAAGGACTCTAAAATATCAAATGTATGGTTAATTCAAAAACTTATATACAAAGTTTGGTGTAATGTATGCAGAATAAAAATATGGGTACCAGATAAAAGATAAACTTCTGTAGAATTGAAAAATATTGAATTTTTTGGTGTATAAGAACGAGTTGGTATAGGAAATGTCCTTTTAAAATTTTATCCTTGGGTATCCTTGCGAATTTGCAGTTATTATTTTTGAGAAAATTATAGGTTAAGTATTATATCCCAGGGGTGATAAATGCGTTTCTTAATATTGTACCAATTGGCAAATAAAATGTACCAAATCAGCCGAAAAAATACCAACAAATATATATGTCTATACATAAATTAGGTAAAGTTCTCTATTTGTCTAGCAACAAAATTCGTGTGAAAGAGTGAAATATCAACTGTTCTCTCACAAGAGAAAAATATCCCGTATGGTATGCGAACAGAAAGTGTGCAGAAACATTCAAGCTTTCGTAACAGCTGATAGAATTTTTGTTTTTATTCAAAAGTGTAAAAAGAAAAAAAATCTCCATTAACCTAAGTTTCAGGCCTCCGGATCACTGTAGAGTTTTCGAATGCAGGGAACACTTGGAAATTGCTCAAGGTCTGGGTGCTCCACTGACCTCATGCGGTATACTTCAGGACAGATGGGCGATAAGTCAGCTCAGCGTGCGCTGGGCAAAAGCCTTGGAGAGCAAGGTGGCTAAGCCCTTTTGACCACGTGAAGGGAGCTCTAACTTGTGAATAGTTTAAAAAGGCCATCAAAACCCTAAGAATACAATTCTGAACGCATGAAAAACATTTTGTGAAGTTGTACTCTAAGTTTCAAAGCACAAACAAACCAAACAAAACACACAAAAGCATATAAATAAATATGTTTATTAAGTGCAGGGTAACACAAACCTTGCAAAAAAAGAGTTTGCATTTAATGCAAAAATATTTAAAAAAATATTTGGTCTTTTGTACGGTTTATATTATTACAGATACTGTTTATTGATTTTGGCAAGAATTTCGTTTTTAATAAATACCACGTATTTACTTGTATAAAGTGGAAAAAGATGACTATATTTTCATTCCCAAACATTACATTTTGTTTGAAGTGAAACTTCTTTAGCGGCGGTTAGTTGGTTGAGAGTAAATTGGCAAATTCAAAGGAAATTGCACACTGAAATGGTGCAACGGAAATGATGCAACGGAAAGGGTTGGGGTTGAAACACGTGCTTCTTGTGTGCATACACATGGTATTAATTTAACAAAAATTTGCTAATAAAAGATTAAAGAATAACACTTAGAAAAATACCACTACAAGAATGAAAGTAAAGGACTACGTACATAGATAAAGAAATGGATAAAGGCAAACGTAAATATAAAAAAAAACAAAGGTGCGTAAAAATAAAGGCAAAAATGAAGGCCAAGGTAAATTTAAATTCTCTACTTATATATATATATATAAGGGCAACGGTGAAGGAGAATATGTAGATGAAGAAAAAGATGAACATAAAAGTAAAGACAAAGAGGAGGATGAGGATACCGATAAAAGTAAAGATGAGGATAGGGTAAGAAAGATTAAAATAAAGGTAATTAGAGAGGAAAGGATATAGGAGAAACACAGAGATTCAATCTGGGCACTAGTAATTTTGGGATTTTCGGGATTCTCGGGACTTATCGATAAAATAATAGGTATTTTTATCGGTTTTGTTATCGATATTTTTATCGGTATTGTTATCAATTTTGCTATCGATATTTTCGGAACTTATCGATATAATAATCGATGTGATTGTCAATGTTATTGTGGCTTATTAACATTTTTATTTTTCATATTTTTATTGAGCTTTGTACCACGATTGTTTATTAGGAAAAATTGAAAAAGCAACAAGGTCTAAGCGGTAGAAGTTGAAGCAACTATTTCTGAGATCACCACATCTCCTCATCAGACTTCTTTTTCTAGACTTCAGCAGGGATTGAACCTGCGTAATCGATGTTCAAAGTCAGAAGCGTTAACCACTGAGCTATGTACATCCCGTAAACTCTTGTTGCTAATTCATTTTCCTTATTCAACCAACTGCTATCAAGTGCAGCTGATTTGCCGCTATTTAAACTCGACAGCGTGGTTGTTGTTGTCAATTCTATACATCCATTTGCTTATTTGCTTTTTTATAGTTTCAGGCAGGCTCTTCCTAAACTATGTATTTGTCCATGTTATTGTGGCTTATTAACAATTTTATTTTTTATATTTTAAATTTTACCTAATAAACAATCGTGGTACAAAGCTCAATAAAAATATGAAAAATAATCGATATTTTTATATCAATATTTTCATCGATTTGTTATCGGCTTTGTAAACGATATTTTTAGCTAATTTTTAGCGGTAATTTTTACCGATTTTGTTATCGATATTTATTGATTTTGTTATCGATATTTTTATCGATTTTGTTATCGATACTTACCGATTTTATTATCGATATTTATAGATGTTGTCAATATTTACCGATTTTGTTGAAAACAGAATAACATAAATGTAATTAGAACGAACAGGGGTAGAGGTAGATAGAAAAAAGACAAAAAAGGTAACCTTAAGTAAAGGCAGATGTAGGTATGTATGTACATAAGTATCTATGTATATTGGTTATGAGACAAAATAGATACGTCTGTAACGTAAGTTTCACTTCTCTAGTGTGGTCCAGACGCACTTAATTCTTTTTATCTGTGGTGTCGTCTTCGCTGGAATGTCCTATGTGTATGTACATACATAAAAAAGGCAAACGTGTTTTCTTTACATCGCTTTTGCGTCTAAACTTTATTTCTAACTGGGAAGTTCTAAGGTATAAATAATTATGTATACATATGTATATCATTCGAAAGGTATTTTGATGTTGAATAAACAAAAGGTAATACAACCTTTTATATAATAATACAACCTTTTACTGAGGCTTAAATTAAGCGTTGAACTTTCTACTACAATCCCTAAGAATACCATCCCTGCACTTTGACCCTAAGGTCACTTATAGTCCTTTATTGAACAGCAAAAACTGATTTTGACGCAATTTTTTGTTTTCAGTAACATAATTTTCCAGTATTTTAATTTTATTGGTCAATACATGACTATACATAAGCGACGATTAGTTCAAGATGCAGGGATGGTATTTTCAGGGATAGGAGATTCTAGCTTTAATTTAAGCCTAATTGGAAAGTTATATCATCTTTTGACCTCGTTTTTCTCTAAATCGGGGCCTGTTGGAAATTTTATACTTCCAGATTCGTAATAAGCACAAAAATGTCCTTAAAACACAGCTCCAATATTTATCTTAGGTTCGGGTTTCATGATTTCTGCACCGTCCATCAGGCAGAGGTGGTAGCTTTAAAATTGACAGCCAAACGGCTACGCACCAGTATATTACGGATTAGATCGGTACTCAGGGCCCTTGGATCGCTCATTGCACGATCGCACCTGCCTAAGGGTTTTTCCAAGCAAGTTGTTTTGGGTTCCTGGATACAGTGATAATGCCGGATATTGAAGAGCTGTCTAATTGGCTACATACGGTACCCTTGTAGTCATCTCCACGGTGAGGGAGCGCATGGAATTTTTTTTGCAACTTTCGTACCACTCCTGGTTACATGGGCTTACGGTCGGCTCAGCCATCGCTTTACAAATGCCTTGGCATGTAAAGTTGCGAAGTATTTTTGGCCAGTGGTTGACTGGGCTTTTCTAGAGGTAAGTGCCGTCTTTGAACTCTTACAGATGTAATGATCGTACAACGGTCTTTGGTAGCCCGTACGATGCGATTTAATATCATTACGGGTCCCTACTGTCACAGCTGTCTGCAGGACGAGGTGAAATCAGCTCAGCACTTCTTCCTTAGAGGCTTGGTTTTCACTAGACAAATGTTTAAACACCTCGACTCATATTTTATTTTGAGCACCCAAAAATATTCCTCAAAATATTTTCGGTGCAACTGAGTTAATATCTTTTTCTCGGAAGTACTATAACTATGCCTTGAGCTTTTAATTCGGAAAAAAATGCCCAAGCAGGCATATCTCTATGTTTGTAAACTTAGTAACCTTAGTATGTAACCTTCTTTATTTTCAGATACTCTTTATAACAGCAACATTTGCTTTAACCCATTGTGGTGTCATTGGCCCGTATGCCGCACATTATGGACCACACGGCGCTGGACCGCTACACTATGCACCCTATGCAGTACCTCATGCACCTCTTCCAGGGCCATATGTAGCACCAGGTAAGCTACTATTCAGTTTCATATAAAGTGGTATCTGAACGCAAAAAGTGAATACCCTTTTCTTCGTTCCTTATCCGTTCAGCACCAGCACCAGCACCGGCTGCCCCTGAACCCTATGACCCAGCACCAAAATACTCTTTCGGCTA